AATGAATCTTGAGTTACCCTGTTTTTTTAAGAGCTGCAGGACTGTCTGAATTTATTTCACACGTGTTATTATTGTGAATGCCGTGTATGTCATTTCTGCGTTCAAGAATAAATTTTGCATGAGAGCTCCTATTTTGGTAGGAATGACGTTTGACGGATCCAGAAATATTGTTGAGGGTGGGTATTAACATTAATTATTGAAATTTTTCCTATGTGCCTACCATGTAAAATTTCAGGATGGTGGACATCCACAATAAAATGAACATATAATATAAAGAAACTCGGATTAGAAAGATTTCCAATTGTATGAAGCAAGCTGTTTAAATTAGAAAGATAATACCAAAACTAACTGAAATCATTTTTGATATCCAATGTAAGACGATATATCTTGTTTAAAATTTATTGTAGCATTGAACATAAACATGTTAGTAGGGAATTCCATTTGTCTGGTAAGAAAAAGACACCCTAGGTTCAATGTAACAACTAACAAGGCAACTGAATTAACATTAGTTAAATGTTAAACGTTAATATAACTTTTGGTATTAACATGCAATTTGATACTCGATTTCTTTTTGTAGTTTGTTATCTAAGTTTTTTTAGAAAGTGGATACCTAACAGTTTTTTAATTTACACATATTTAATTATAATTGTTTTATATTTTTAATTTTTAATGTTGTTCAGTTGAAGAACTAATACGTATTACATAATCAAAAGTTATGTTGAAATTTTACGTATACACATTTAATTTTAAAAATATTAAATATCTAATTATACTAAAAAAAAAGAAGTAAAGTTTAAAAAAGTTAGGTAGTACCAAAAGTTATTAAATTAGATTCGTTGGTTTTGCTACTGTGATGTTCTTAGAGGATTATGTAGCTTAAATTAAAACGTTTAGACAAGGGGGAAAACAAAGGCATCCACAAGAGGGTTCTAACCTGCGCGGGCCAAGCCCAACAGATTTCGAGTCCGTCTCCTCTCCTTAACCACTCGGACACATCGACTGTTTCAGTATTGTTATCCTAAAATCAATGTAGTCCTTAACTTGTTTTATATTTGTATAATTTATAAAAATAAACTTAAACAATTACCGATTACAAACTCATTAAGTAATTTTAATAATTAAAAAAATTATTATTATTTTTAGATCTCGAGTTTAAATAACCACATTTACAGGGTACGTGCTCGCACGTTATCAATCATTAAATAAAAATTATGAACATATATCATCTTATAACCACTTTAAACTATCTAAAAAAATCAATTATCATCGTATCTAAATCAATATATTATATTTGTAGTAAGTCGCATAAAAGTTGTAATCAAATCGAACAGTCGATATGTCCGAGTGGTTAAGGAGGTCTTGAAATCTGTTGGGCATCGAGGCGCAGGTTCGCTCCCTGCTGTCGACGTCTTTAATATGCTTTAATGCAAAGCAAACGTCCTCAGAAGGTTTTGGTGGCACTGATGCAGCAGCCAGCCAAACTGGACACGTCGAATGTTAAAGCTACATTATCCTCTAAGAAAAAGACACGTAAATCCCCAAGTTGTAATTCCCTCGTCTTTTTTTGCGATTAAAATATGGGTAAATTACATAATTCATCACTAAACTTTCACTTTTTTTAATTTACTCACTATACTTTATAAATTAAATTTTTAATCATTAAGCCGTTAATTTTGTAAAGTGTTATGACGTGGATCAATTAAATGATTTTTTAAATTATTAAATTCCACATAAAAATAAAATAATTAAAAATATATGGGGAAAATAGAAATTATAGCGTGAAGCCACCATCTCCTCCGACATTAGCGCCGTCACTACAACCGCCGCAGTCCCAATGCCCTTCAACTTCCTGTGATCGTCACCCTAAAGTGCATTTCACTAGCTTTTGTCCTTTTTGCCTCTATGCTATGTTCTCCATTCTTCTTCTCATTAGGGCTCGAAAAATGCTTTGGTCAGTCTTTCATTACAACACAGAGAGGAACCCACATAAAAAAAGCAACGAGAAACATAAGGTATTATGAAATTGTTTAAGTTGGAGCTCTAAATTTGGGTTCTCCTTCAAGCTTTGTTCAAGGCCCTACTTTCTAAAGCAAAGAAGGTCGTCAAATCGAGAATGAAACCAATTATGCATATGAGATAGAGATCATAGAAGAAGAAGAAGAACGACCCAAAGCAACTGTTTTTGCCGTCAGACCTAATTACGCATATGGTGGTACGTTCACAATGGCCTCACCCACCATCTTCTTCCCAAGCTTTAGCTTCAACAAACTCAAATGTAATGAAAGAATGGTGCGAAATTGTTACTAGAAAACCAAGAGAAAAGGGGGGAAATTTCATCAGATACATTTTTTTGGTTCTCTCAAAAGAAGGCATGGGTGGGGGTTTGTGGGTGTACTGTGATTTTGATGGAGTTTGTAGGGGTTTGAGGTTAGGGATGGAGTTTAAAATGGAGATGAAGTGGAGTGGATAATAAATTTTTTAAATAATATTAATAAATTGATTAAAATAATAATAAAAATGTCACATAAAAAAAAGCAAAGAAAAACGGTCGAGTGATAAAAAAATTTAATCAATAAAATTTAATGAGTAAATTAAAAAATTTGAAAGCTCAATGAGTGAAATAGGAGAGAGAATAAGATTCAACAATGAACTGTATAATTTATCCTAAAATTTTAAATTTTCGACGTAAATTTTACACTCATCATTATTGTAGTATGTTATACTAACAAATTATTTTTTCTTTCAAATCATCTTTGAACTGCTTGAAGGGTCAAAGAACCAGGTTTCCTATCAGTTAAGCTGAACCGGTAACCACTTCCCATTAGGCATCATCAATCCTTCCTCCTCCACACAATCACCCACCACATGCCCCGTTATTCCACATCTATCACAAAATCAAGGAAGATAATCGAAACAACCTGTGGAGTTCCATTTTCATTCCATACCAAAAGAATCAATCTTCAACCAACAACTAGTTGATTTAACGAGACGAAACATTAAATTTTCTAAACAAGATTAAAAGTAGGAGTGAACGTTTGATAGAGTTGAGTTGAGTTGAGTCAAAAATTTTAAATTATTCGGATTGATGAGTCTTATTTTATAACTCGAACTTGACATGAATTTTTTTAATCGAGTCGAGTTTTCAATTTTCTATTTAAATTTAATTGTAAATATTTATAATATTATGATATTATTTTATTCCAATTTCATTAATTTTTTAAAATCATATACAATACATATATATATTTCTTCATATATTTTTCATATGTGATATACATATATCATACAGAGTCAATGGACTGAACTCGAACTTAAAAATAAATCCTCTCAATACTAAAAATTTTAAGTTATTTGAGTTGTGTTTTATAACTCAACTTGAATTTGAAATTTTTTCGAGTAGAATAGAATTGAGAAAATCAATTTTTCAAGTTAAATTGAAATTTGCTCACCTCTAACACAAAGTTCTCCGCACGTTGTTTCGATTATGAAGGGCTACCTTGATTTTGTCATAATTGTGAAGCCAAAAACCATAGCCATTCGGACCAAGGGAAGGCTTGAAGCTCTTTATGACAAAGAGATAACGATCAAAGCACCACAGCTCTCCTTCCATGATCTTTCTTTGTTAGAGTTTTGAACCAAGTAAAGAAAAAGATTACCACTTTCTCCATATGCCAAACCGATTTAAACACTCTAAAAATGTATATCATTGTTTACAGAGAAAAACATAGGACTTTATGTTGAGACACGAATTTGTAATATTCTAAAGGAATAAAAACAAATTATCAAGAGAAAATGTAAAAGAAAATATTTAAAATATATGAGAATCTGAAAATCTCAAGAGACGGTCGCTCCTCTCTCGATCCATCACTGCTTGTTGATGGGGTTAACTCTAAGTAGCCGTCCAACGACCCAACATGTTGCATTCTGAATGCATGGCATTGGTGCTTTCTGGGTTCCTCTAAAAGTGTCAAATTATTGACTTTGGGGTTTTCATGAAAGTAAAAAAGGGCGGGTTTTTCTTTAACAAGAAGATACGTTTGTGGGAGTGTGAAATTGATTTGCAAGCAAAGCTGGAACCATACACTTATTGTAATTGCACTCATGCTGGTCCTCCAAGCATCCTTTGCATTACATTTCCACCCGTTTAAATTAATTATACATCTCTCTTTTGCTTTTAACCCTTCTACGTGACTAGGCAATATAATACATAGATTAAAACACCTATATTTGTCACGTATATAATACTTTACTACTTGTTTTTGATAAAAAAAAATAGTTTAAATAATTAAAAGAAAGAAAAGAAAAGCATAATTTAGGGATTTTTTTTTTACTTTAAGTCTAATATAAATAAGAATGTGCATCTTTTGTAACTCTTTAATCTTTGAAAGTGCCCCTCCCATTTCAACTTCACTCGAGTATAATGCCTAAAACGAAACTTTACTAAAACCAGACCCCATGATGCCCAAAACGAAACTACACCAAAAGACAATGGCAGACAGAAATATAGCGGTAAGAAGATATAACATGCCTGAGTTTCGTTTCGTTTAACTAACATCATTTTTAAGTTGAACATTTAACGAGTTTGGTCCACATGAAAGGAGGAGGTTGCCTCTTTTTTTAACTGCATTTCAACTACTGCTGCAGTAGCAATGATATTTGTAATCACTGCCGTCTTCTTTGAAAATTTTAAATTCTTATATTTTTTTATATTTTTATTTTGTACTCTTATAATTTTATAAATTCGATTTCCTTAAAATATTATAAATTCGATGTTTGTAGTTACTAGTTTGTGGCGTTGGAGTGCATATATATATATATATATAAATATACATGTACATAATAACTATCACCAAAACAGAACCATAATAATGAATGCCATTGTTGCCACTCCTTAACCATAATCACATGTCTCTTTAATCCCCTCCATTTACTTGCATGCCTCACTTTCCCTCTTCATTACTTACAACCCCAGCCTCTTCATTACTTACAACCCAGCAATGAGACAAATCCAATAATTAACCTTAAATATCATTCCATTAACATCCCATTAAGGGTTTTAAGGGACTCTACTCTGTTTTTACTAACAATTTCTTTTCAGTTTAGGTTGCTAGTTTGTTCTATGGCCCTGAAGTGCTTCTGGGTCAGCTTCACTTTGTTCTTTGGGTTTTGGATTGTCGCTTTCTGTGATCAAAATGGTATGCATACTCTGTTTCAATTACAATGTTTAAAATTTACATTTCATGTTCTTGTTGTTAGCAAAGCTTTGATCTTCAAAATAAAGGATACTGAAGCTTTGAATTTGTTGAAATGATGTTTAGTTCTTCCATTTTAATTTCCCTGAGACAGGTTTCTTGAGCTTATCTTGCGGAGGAGCAAAGAGTTTTGTTGATTCATACAAGATTAAATGGGTCTCGGATGATACTTTCATAACCGCAGGTAAGAAAACTATCGTTGAGTATGTTGAAGGTACCTTCTCATCCAGCATTCCAATTCGATTTTTCCCTGAATCTCGAGGCCGCAATTGCTATAAGATACCAATAGATAATATGACATCCACTGTTCTTGTGAGGGCCCAATTTGTGTATAAGAACTATGACAAACATCAGAAACCTCCAGCTTTCTCGGTTTCTCTTGGCAGAGCTATCATTAGTGTGGTAAACCTAACCGATAAAGATCCATGGATTGATGAGTTCATATGGCCAGTGAGTAAGGATACACTCTCATTTTGCTTGCAAGCAATCCCAGATGGGGGATTTCCTGTTATTTCATCAATTGAAGTTCGACCACTTCCTCGAGGCGCTTACCAAAGTAGACTGGAAGATTTCCGGAATAAGTCACTTCGTAAATGTTATCGTATTAATAGTGGTTACACCAATGGATGGCTGAGGTAAAAGTATAGAACATTGCTTATCTGTATATGGCTTCTGTTGTATATCAAGATGTCTGTGACTAACTTCAGTTTAACAGGTATCCTATTGATCCATTTGATCGCATTTGGGATGTTGATCAAAGTTACTCTCCCTTCCATGCCTCACCTGCATTCAACATTGGTGTTAGCTTCAATTTGTCGAGTCAAAAGGAGAGCCCTCCTTTGGATGTGTTGCAGACTGCTCGGGTTCTCGCACGAGAGGATGTGTTTTATTATAACTTACCTCTAGATAAGCTAGGGGACTACTACATTGTCCTCTACTTTGCTGGCATCCTTCCAGTTTCTGCTTCTTTTGATATACTAATCAACGGGGATGTTCTACTATCAGACTTCACGGTAAGAACCTCAGAAGCCAGTACACTATATTTTAAGCAGAAGGGAATAACAAGTCTGGATATTGCACTTAGAAGCATCATATTCTACCCTCAAATCAATGCGCTTGAAGTTTACGAAATTGTTGATATTCCACCTGAGACTTCCTCAACCACAGGTGACAAGGCATTGTCTTGTGTGAATTTGATGAGTTTTTAATGCTGACTAATGCCGACTCCATTCTTCATGAACTTCCAGTTTCAGCACTTCAAGTTATCGAGCAGTCTAACGGTTTTGATCTCGGGTGGCAAGATGATCCATGCTTCCCAACTCCATGGGATCATATTCAATGTGAAGGAAGTACAGTAACATCATTGTATGCACTTTGTAACCGTTTACTCTGTCATTTTCTGTCTTACCTTAGAGAACTACTCATACAGTGTTATTGTTTCTTCTTAGGGACCTTTCGGACATCAACTTGAGGTCGATTAGTCCAACATTTGGTGACTTGTTGGATCTTAGAACACTGTAATTCCTATCGGTGCAAAACAAGTTTCTGTTCCTGTTAATATCTCTGTATCCTCAAAATAGAACTTGTGCTAATCTTTGTGATTCGGTTTTCAGGGATTTGCATAACACATCACTTTCTGGAGCAATACAAAATCTAGGCAGCCTACAGCGTCTTGAGAAACTGTAACGTCTGTCGATGTATTCACCCTTTTCAGTATCTTCAAGTATCAGGACTAATAATATGATCTTGACTGAATTCTCAGGAACCTGAGTTACAATCAACTTACATCCTTTGGTTCTGATTTAGACAGCTTGGTTAACCTTCGAGTTCTGTAAGTTATAATCTTCTCCGATAATCAATTGAGATTTACTCTCGAAGTGTTTTCTTATGCTACCACACAATAATTTCATTTATGAGTTTATAGTTAGCAGACTGTCACTGTATTTCATGAAGGGAATCTGATACATGATAATTGAACTAATACTGTATTATTAATGTTTTTTCTTCATGGAGGGATTTGCATAATAACAGTTTAAAAGGAATTGTTCCAGACAGCTTGGGAGAGTTAAAGAGCCTCCATCTACTGTAAGTGAATTCGATAATTATGCAGTTTCTTTGTCCTTGCACCATCCCAAGTATCACCAGATAAAAAACAGTTTTCTCCATTCTTCAGGAATCTGGAGAACAACAAACTTCAAGGTACCCTCCCTCTATCTTTGAATCGTGAAAGTTTGGAAGTTAGGTATGGAATTTGTACTCTTTTTTTTTTCTTTCCTCTAGCTATTTATCCTGTATCCTGATATATAATTTTTCATGCAGAACATCGGGAAACTTGTGCCTTTCCTTCTCAACGATGGTGTGCAATGATGTCTTGTCGAATCCTTCAATCGAGACACCGCAAGTTACTATTGTCACCGATAGGAAACAAAAATGGCATAGGCTTTTGGCAATTACACTTGGTGCAGCTGGGGGAACCTTATTTACTCTACTCCTAATTTCTCTTTTGGTATTATTATACATAAATAAGAGGAAAGGTGAAGCTACATATACTACAAGTATGTAACAGTTATTCACAACGTTGTTACCATGAAAATTGATGACAAGGTTCTTATGTGCACATTGTTCTTATATTCAGGGGCATCGATTGAAATGCTGAACTGGAATGCAGCAAGAATCTTTTCCTACAAAGAAATAAAAGCAGCTACAAAGAACTTTAAGGAAGTGATAGGCCGTGGTAGCTTTGGATCCGTATACCTCGGAAAGCTATCAGATGGTAAACTGGTTGCTGTAAAAGTGTGGTCTGATAAAACTATATTGGGTGCCAATTCTTTTATTAACGAGGTTTATCATCTAAAGTTCTCTATGGTTTTCTTGACTCATTTTTTCTTGATCTAGGATGAGCTTTCATTCTGTTCTGTTATGTACTTATGTCTATTATACCTAGCATTAGTGCTGTAAAAGTTACCTCATGTTCATGGGATGGCATGCAGGTTCATCTCTTGTCACAAATTCATCATCAAAATCTAGTGAGCTTGGAAGGATTTTGTCATGAATCGAAGCAACAGATACTAGTCTATGAGTATCTACCGGGTGGATCACTGTCTGATCACCTCTATGGTATGTTTTCCCGAATTCAAGATTTAACATTTTCATTTTGCAGTTTTCAAGACAAATCCTTTAAATATTTACCTCTCATCTATGAAACCTTTATAGCTTGTTCTTGATGTTTGTTTCAGGTCCAAAGAGTCAAAAGGTTTCTTTAAGCTGGATTCGGAGACTGAAGATAGCTATTGATGCTGCAAAAGGTATATCTAAATGCCTAGTATGTATCCTGTTTCTACCCTCATATAAAATTACTAAGGATTTAGCCTCGTTTGTTTCAAAGGACTGGACTATTTGCATAATGGGAGTGATCCGAGAATCATACACCGCGATATCAAGTGTGGTAACATCCTTTTGGATTGTCAGATGAACGCCAAGGTCTGTGATTTCGGCCTCTCAAAGCAAGTAACTCAGGAAGATGCAACTCATGCGAGTACTGTTGTCAAGGGAACTGCTGGCTATCTGGATCCTGAGTAAGTTTTTGTTTACTAAGTTGTGCCGGTACAGCACCGGAACTCATGATCATTAATGTATTTCATTAATGACATGTTTGAAGTGCAGGTACTATTCCACCCAACAGCTGACTGAGAAAAGTGATGTCTACAGTTTCGGGGTTGTTCTTTTAGAGCTCATATGTGGAAGAGAACCGTTGACTCATTCTGGAACTCCAGATTCCTTCAATTTAGTGCTATGGGTAACCAAAACTTTCTTTTTCTTTTAACTTTCTTCAGTTTGTTCCATATCGTAGTGCATGAGGAGCATGATGGGGCGTCACATATCTGTTTTTTAACTCTCATGAGTTTCCACAGTGTCAGCTTGTTTACATTTGATGATGCATACAACTCGCACGAAACATTCCCGTCTAGGCATTTGTCAACTAATAGTTCAAGTTGTTGCAGAAGTTCCTGCAAAGTTCCTAGTTTAGAACTTTAGATGCCGGAAAATCATGGATTTAAGAAGGCAAATTAGTTTAAGATGTTAATATAAGCTCCTAAAACAGTTGTTTGATCCATGCAATACTTTTTCAAATTTCTATATCATTACTTAGCTCTAAACAACTGATTTACATATGATTTAAACGCAGGCGAAGCCGTACTTGCAGGCGGGTGCACTCCAGATAGTGGATGACAGCTTAAAGGGAACCTTCGATGTCGAGAGCATGAGAAAGGCAGCCTTAGTCACTGTAAGGTCCGTGGAAAGAGATTCATCACGGAGACCGACAATTGCGCAAGTGCTGGCTGGGCTGAAAGAAGCCTACAGTCTTCAGCTATCATATCTTGCATCTTTTGGACTCCCAGGTTAAGATAGCAAAATGCAAGATCAAAATATTGTTAATATTTAATATTCGAATATTGAAAACTTTTCGAGCAGTGTATTTAAAGATAGAGTTGTTTTTTTTTTTTTTTTTGGGGGGGCGAAGTGAGATATAATTCTTTCGGAAAGAAGGCGTTATATGTGAGAAAGGTGAGTAGGTTATGGTAGAGTGTATTCATAAGACTGCATATGTATCTATTCTGTCAGTGTCTTATATTTGAGTAATTTGCCAAACCTTCCAACATGGAAAGGGTACTAAAATAATGCAGTTGAAGCAAGCACAACATATGGGAAACATTCTCCAAATTCCCTGTATGATTCAAAGGAGGACATGTTTAATATATGTAGCATAACAAAAGAAACAGACTTCTTAATTCATAGAATTTCGCACGTCTGAGACTGAACAAAAATGTTGACACAGCTTAATCTAACACGGTCATATGATTCATAAAAGAAAAAACATTGCAGTTGATAGCCGGATCGGAATGCTGGGGCAAGCTCTTGAAGAAGGAAAGGCTTGGGGTGATGCTCTATACCTGGAATTAGGGAAAGAAAGGGCTGCTGCTACTGTAGCTATGGCAATGATTTTGCTTCTGCAAGAGGATAAGGCATCAATAGAACTGGAAGTAACACAATACCAAAGGATGATAGAAGAAAACTCTGCTTATGATGAAGAGATGAACATTCTGAAAGAGATCCTGGTCGGGAGGGAGAAGGAGAATCACCTTTTGGAGAAAGAAGTTGAAGCTTACAGGCAGATGAATTGACGTGGAGATGCGCAGAGGGGTGTGGTTTTGCTGCACTATGAATAAAGCTGGACAAATGCCTTCATTTTCATTTGGTTTAGATGAAGATCCATTTCTAATGGGGAATAGTGGATCCCCTGCGAAGAATGGTGTGGGAAGAGGTTCAAGTTGGCCTTCAAAAATTGAGACACCAGCAGCTGAGAAAATAGTTGATGATGCCATAGCATGCCAAGCAGTAACAATAGGAACGTCACTAAGTTTCGGTGGCACTTCTTTAAGAATAGAAGAACTCGAGAGAAATGCCGTATCTGGTGAGCCACTGAGCTGCAATATACAAAATTCCACATTTGGTATAGAGCCAACTATTTATTATGTCCATGTTATCAATGATAACAAAGGCACATTTAAGGAGGAGAATGGCAAAAAATGTGAACTGCTAAGTGCTAACTTGTTCTTCTTTAGATCATGAGACACTGCTATCTGACTTAGGGAGGTGTTCTTCTGCCGTCAGCAACGAAAGGTTGGATAGCGGTGCTAAAATCGAACACCCTACAGAAAGGCTACAAATAGTTCAAGGAGAAAAAGAGAAGCTGAATTTGTCTGCAGATCAGAGGGAAATAATAGATATCCTATTGAAACACACCGAGAAGCAGGTATGTGGCATTTCAACTGGATCGCTTTGTCGCATGCTTCATATGTTAGCATTTCAAAAGTGTCTTCGAGATACTATTTGGAAACATAATATGATCCCAAAGAGTCACACTTCCTTCAAGTCCGATTCTGTTGGTTAATTGCACGATAATGATCGGCAAATACATGTTGAAGGAAATCGTTTTCTGATTTACCACTTATATTTCTCACAGAACTTATTAACAATTCATATGTCCGTACATCATTCCTTATAACTTACTTCAGCTACTGCTTTTTAGGTGGTATGGATATGTTTTAAGGTCTGATGCTAATATCAGCAAGTGTAGGGTCCTTCTCCATAGGTAACTTATTATTTGAGTATTAGTTGGTAATTTGTGGATAAAATCTGTAAAAATCCATAGAAGTTAGCTGATGCTGTTGGTGTCTGTTTGTATGTAAAATCCTTTTAATATTTCTACTTTCAATCGAATTAGAGTAGCTTCAAATTGTCTAGTTGACCCTCAAATGTTGGTCCCCCCAATAAACAAATAATCAAAGGGCAACTTTGACCACTTGCTTGTCATCTTTCCTCGAGTTAGGCCGAGAGGCCTATGGATGTAATTATTGTTTGAAAGTGAAAATATACAAAAAAAAAAGTTGACATTGTGAAAATATACAAAAAAAAGGTTGACATTGTGAAAAATATACAAATGTGGTCACCATCTTCTTTAGGATTAGAAGAATATACTTGGGAGTTATTTCATCTTATTGTGCGATAATTATACTTGTGTTTATATTTTAACATACTATATGGAGAAAGAAAACGTATTAGCGAGTATCATTAAATTATCAATAGAGATAATCAAAGAGAAAATATCTCGAGATGGGGGTAATGTAAGTTAGGTTATGCGCGAGAGAATGATGGTAAAGTGGAGTAAATCGTCGATAGGCTGGGTGAAGGGTAACGTCAATGGAGTAGTATGTGTAACGGGAGGTGTTATCCGAAACGATCAAGCTGACTAGATCTTTGGGTTCACAAGAAGTATATGCAACTGCTCGACAGTGGTAGCAGAGTTATGGGCCATCCATAATGCATTAGAGCATGGATGGAATTCGAGGCTTTAACTAATTGTTAGGTTATCTTGTTTCTCTTGTTCGATATTATAAAAAATACAATTATAAATGTTAAAATATAATTTGTTTTTAATGAAAATCTAGAAGTAAGTAAAATTGGATGCAAAGGAATATGAAATGGTCAAGCTTGAGGCAATTATTATGGTGGTTTGAGCATGTGCATGGAACTAACACATGAGTCTTTACCCTTTGCTTATACCGCACCCAACCACGCACCATGATGTCTTGCCCTAAAGTTCTTAGCTTTCGGTATTTAACAACCCGCCTTTCTTTTCCCCTCTGCATCTGAATGGGACCTTAGCTGCAATAAATTATTCTCTCTATAATAGAATATTCTGTACCAAGTATTGTATAACTTTTTTTTAAGAAATGTGTTATTATTAATTAATAAAAACATTTTATTCTAATTTATTGATCGAGTTTATGAATAATAAAAAAATTAAGTTTTCAATCAACAATCAGTTGATCTAGTCAAACGAGACACTAAATCTTTTAAACAAAATCAAGAGTTTGAATAGTGGTGGATTCGTGAGCACACATATGCTAGTAACACAATTTTTGCATAGGTGGACACAATTAAAATTTTAGGATGGACACCATCAATAAAATAAATAACTAACCAAAGAAAATTTAAATTTTAGGATGGACACGTACCCACCATGAACTACATGTGATCCGCCATTAAGTTTGAATCCTAACTTTTATAAGTAAAGCAAACTAACTTAAATAAGGCTGTCCTCATAATAAGCATTTGTAAAAATCGGTTAAAAAAACAAATATTCAAAAAAAAAAACTTCTGAATTTAAATGATTCAAATATAAAAATGAGAAGAGAACACGCTACAAAAATTCAGTAGAATCTTATACAAATTATTCTAGTGTTTTCCTATTCCTCATTTCCTTTCTTTTAGCATTTTCAATTTTTAATGTCAGGTTGGGACATTTTGTATCTAATTGCACCTCATAAACGTGTCTGGTTTTATGTCCCTTTTTTTTCCTTTTGAAGAACATGTCCCCTTTCTTTGATATGCGAGGAAAAACATATTTCATAAAAAATATTATTCTTTTAAAAAAAGCTATTATTTGATGTATATATATATATATATAACGTTTGTTATTCTTTAAAAAATAATTTTTTTTTATTTTAAGCTTTAAATTTTACATCTTAAAACTTAAAATCTTAAACCTAACTATGAATCATTATATTAAAGTAAACAGAATTATATAAACTAAAATTTACACAAATTACTATTAAAAAAATTACACAATACCCGATCTAGATTAATAGATCAATAGATCGGATACCAGTGATTAATTTTTTTTAAAAAACAAGCAAACTGAGTTGGGAGGGTCGCCCTCACCTCTGTAATACCTGATATGGATTAGTCGATCAACACAAATTGTATATTAGATAAAAAATTATAATTCATCAAATACAAGTGAATATAAAAAATTTTGTGATGTGTACATTTAAAAACTCAATTCATGCACGAATAAAGTTACCTCATTGATTAAATAGATGATTGTTATTCTTAGAGATTATGAGTTCGAGCATCAAAGATTGCATTGTATTTAAGCATTCATTGTCATATAAGAGTTTTTAAAATAGATTCTACCACATGTAATCATATTAAATTAATAAAAAAAATCAAATTGTGTCCTTTAAAAGTTTAGCAATAAATTTAGAAAAATAATGTGTACTCTTAAATTGATTTCTTTTTCACTTACACTATTATCTATTTATATTTCAATAATTTATACATAAATTAATGTCTAATTGACATTTACACGTGGAAATTGATTTAGAATTAGTTGAAAATTAATTTAAACTTTAAATTGATTTACAATAGTTTTTTTTGAAGGCATATGTCAGATATCAGTCATAAATTGATGTCTAATTGACATTTACACGTGGAATTTCATGTAAAATTATTATTGGTTGAAATCATTTACTCGGTAAATGTCAGTTATCAATCATAAATTAATGTCAAATTGATTTACACATTATTTTTCATTCACATAATCCAAAGCAATATTGATCATATATTTGGAAAAAAAAATCCACGTGAATTAATTATAGATGATCGGATTTCTATATTTATACCCTCTTCGATACCTTGTGAAAGTCTAATTGTAAGCGCACTTTTTGTCGAATTCCATAGTCCCACTAGCCAACCATTGTCCGCGTGGCAATAGTATCTGACGTGGAACATTACCAAACATTTTTTATTAAAATTTAAAAGTAAATAAACAAAACAGGGAAAAAAACTAGATTGTTATTGGCTTACACCGTGTCGCTTAACGGGTACGTAACGCCGAAACCCCGCTCCCGCTCCCGCAACGGATAAAAAATCGGTAAAAGTTGACGGGAACCACCGTCGCTTGATGAGTAGGTGAAGCGGCGGTTTAACGCTACGTTACGAAAGCGAATATTTCTTTTTTATAAAAATATAAAATATTTCCTTTTTTTTAAAAAAAAACTTCTTGACAACGACACGCCTCAGCTAACTGGTCTGGCCCCAAAAAAGATTAACAAAAAGAAAATACTCCGCCTATTATTTTATTTTATTATTCTAGAAACAATATAGAGAGAAAAGAAGAAAAGCCCGCCTCGCACCGTAAAGCTAGCTTTGGCTCCGATTATTATTATTATTATATATATATATATATATATATATATATATATAAGGAAATAACGAGAGAAATCGAAAATTCAATCACCCGTTAACCTCGCTCAATCCGTGTGGAATGAATGCGGTATTTTTTTCAAGGTATATTTTCATGCGTTTCCTATTTTCAGTGTTTTTTATTGATGCATTAATTATGTCATTGAAGTTTTTTTATATATATATTTTATCTTTTAATTGTGTTTGTTTGATCTTAATTTTGGATCTGACGTGATTTGATTTCGTTTTTTTTGATTTACCTTCTTCTGACCAGTAATACTATACTGTCCTGCTGATTCCGATTCATTTCTTTTTTGTCCATTTCTGGTAAACTCGATTTTGTTTTCTACAGAAACCAGCTGTAATAGAGAATCGAACAGATCTGTAAGATTTGGTAATATATAAGAGTGACAGCATCTCGTAATTTCTGAGGTTCTCTGTGTCCGTTTGGTTACAGAGTCAAGTTTCATCACGATTCCGGATACATATTACAATGCCTGGTAAATTATGTCTAATTTCTAATTTTACTGAATTTTGATCCATGTCGAGATCGGAATTGTATTGGTGGATTTTTTTTGTTGATCTGTTTTTATTCATATCAGGGGAGTTAATAGAATTTCAAGAAAATGAGAGGTTTAGAAAAGAAGGGAATTTGGATTCCGAGATGTATGAGGACGAGAGAAGAAGATCAACGCGAGCGAGATCTCTGAAGAAGAAAGCGATGACTGCTTCGACGAAGCTAACACACGGTATAAGGAAGCGTGGCAAACGCGTGGCTGACTGCAAATTCGCGGCAATTTCTATCGAGGATGTGAGGGATGCGGAGGAGGAAAAGACGGTCAGAGCATTTCGCCAGGCATTGCTTGCCAAAGATCAGCTCCCCTCAAGTCATGATGATTACCACACTTTGTTTAGGTAATTTAACCAACCAGATGATTTATATTAGTACATGTTTTTGTAGAAAGATATGGTATCTATTTGCGTGGCTAGTTCATATTAAACTATGTTGATAAGATGAGGAGATCATTCCATGTACACAAATCTGCTCTGTTTTAGCTTTCTACTAATATGTCCTGTTTTGACTTACCAGAAATCTAAAGCTTTGAATTGTTTACAATTGAGTATAACTTTGAGGTAGAATTATGTTGTGCTTGAAATTATTTCCTAATTGTTCTATATTTTTCTTGTATTGTCTTAGAAATTTATAAATAATCTCTAAACTAGAAGACAATTTTTAGATTTTTTATTTTAGTATGACATGTATAGGATGTGTAGGTTCCAGAAACAAATTCATTAGAATTTTAGAATAAAATATAAGAATCGCTTCTTGATTTCCTACTCGATGTTTTCTTATTAAGAGTAGTGGCATGGTGCACTATATATCACATCATCTACAGTTTAGCTATTTCATGGACTGTAACTGTCCCTTTTATTGAGATTTGCCCTTTGTACTAGCTTTCACTTTTCATCATCCCATCTTTAGCGGCAAGAATTTGACAAGCATATCACTAAAATGAACTATTCAACTTCTACTGTCTAGATCAAATGTCTTAATAACAGTCTCTTCTAATAAAAATAAGGTTTTTTCTTGATTTAATGAAAAAAGGTTTTTTCTTGATTTAATGAAAAAAGGTTTTTTTTCTTGAAATTTTTTGCAGCTTTATAAATATAATGCGTACTTCTTTGCTGGAACTGTAGTGAAGCATGAGATTCTGAGTTTGCTTTTGAATACAAGTTATTGAGCGGAAGAGTCACCTACTTAATCTTTTAATTTCACACTAGGCTAGACTTTCAGAACCATTAAACTTGGAAGTAGAAGCTGCGCTTCATATCAAGTTGTATTTAAAAAAAATACTTATGCCATCTTATCCAAATAGAAAGAAGATAATAATCGTCCCAATTCCCCCTCCTCCCATAAAAGAAAAATGATTCCTAGCATTCGACTATGTTCTTTCATTTAAAAAAGCTGGTAATTGTTATTGCAGATTTTTGAAAGCAAGGAAATTTGACCTCGATAAAACTGCCCTGATGTGGGAAGATATGTTGAACTGGAGGAAAGAGTATGGAACAGATACTATTATACAGGTAAAATGCATTCTTCTTATCATATTTAAAATTTCTTAGTCAGATATACTACTTATGATTATACAACTTATATAAGCAACTGTTTTTATATTGTTGTTTACGGAAGAATGTGTTGTGATGTCTGTCTTTTTTGTTTGATGATTCTAGTTTCCATGGTTTTGACAGATGCCCTGATGTATATGCAGGATTTTGTGTATGACGAATACGAAGAAGTTCAGCGCTGTTACCCCCATGGTTACCATGGTGTAGACAAACAGGGTCGCCCTGTTTATATTGAAAGACTTGGTAAAGTTGACCCTACCAAGCTGATGAAGGTTACTACAGTGGACAGATTTTTGAAATATCACGTGCAGGGCTTTGAAAAGTCCTTTTTGGAGAAGTTTCCTGCCTGTTCTATTGCTGCCAAGAGGCATATAGATTGTACAACCACAATATTGGATGTCCAGGGGTTGGTCAGTGTTCATAAATTACTGAATACATACATTTCATGCAATTTCATGTTTCTCATCATTATGCTCTTTATGCAGAACTGGATGAGCTTTGGCAAGGTTGCACATGATCTTGTAATGCGCATGCAGAAAATTGATGGAGACAACTATCCTGAGGTGGGTTCATTGTTTCATTAAGCGAAACTGACATATGTATCTGAATTATTAGTGCATGATGTCCTAAACTGTTACTAATATCAGTTTTCTCTCTACAGACTTTACATCAAATGTACATAGTTAATGCTGGAAATGGGTTCAGACTACTATGGAACACAGCAAAAGGCTTTCTTGATCCGAGGACTACAGAAAAGATTCATGTACAAAAATTTTGGAACATGTGATCATGAAGAATATATATTATATATATTATCCTTTTTCAACTTTTGAGGGTTGGGTTTCAACTAATCAACTAGTATTCTTTGATTATATAGGTTCTAGGGAACAAATTTCATAATAAATTATTGGAGATTATTGATCCAAGGTTGTGGTTTCTTCTGTACCGTTACTGAAATGTCTTACTGCCTGCTTGTTTTGAGCTTTCTTACTAAACTCTTTTCTGAAAATCTCTTAAGCAGCCAATTGCCGGAGTTTCTTGGTGGAACATGCTCATGCCCTAATGATGGAGGCTGTCTTAGATCTGACAAGGGACCCTGGAATAATCCAGAAATAATGAAGGTACGATCCTTGGCTGTATTGAAAAGGAAAATGAATAAATAATTTTAGCCTTTGGCATCACTCCTCTCTGTTCACACATATTGATGTCTAAGGAAACCCCTGATTATTATTTTATGCCCAAAGCTAAAAGCCATTGCTTGTATTTTGTTTGCAGTTGGTACGGTTAGGAGATGCCCTGTATTTGAGGAAAACAGAAAGTTCTTCTGATAATGAAAATTTGGAAGCCAAACTTCTATCTACAAAGGTTTCTCCAACTGCCTTTTTGTTGATCAAGTTCCCTTGTCTTCTGTCAATTTATCTTTATTTAGCTTTGCATCATGTTCCATTTTAAATGGCTCTTTGGCAGGTTGCAAGTAGTGAAGTATCTTATGCTTCGGTGTGTGGCCAGATACTTCTGGTTTCATGCAGTTGGTGCCACTTCCTGAAAAAGTAAGTTTTTCAAAGTAATTGGCTCTGCCTCATCACCATTCTGGCTTTTCATTTAACTATAAGAATTTAATCATTAGACTTTTTAATACATGTTTCTCTTGTGATACTCTGCAAAAGTATTATTTAATCTTTATAAGCCTTGTGTCAGGGAAGGATGAGTGCTCTTAATTCAATGCGTGACATTATTGAACCAGAAAATACTGCAAGAACTGAAGAAGTCAATTCAACAAGTGAGTGATCACTCGATCCTTAATGAACATTGTATTTGTGTTTATGTTCTCGCTTTGAATCAGATCATACTATTATCATAGTAAACCTCCATAATGATCGATAAGTGAAGTAAAGCATAATTAGTGGCAATAATTAGCCTTTCAAAGGTAAAGGAGAAATCATGGCCATCATCCATTCTATTAAGATATGGAAATTGGTAGTACTGTGTTGTTCTTTGGCCATGCCGGGCTTGAACTTGTATGCCCAATCAAATTTTGAAGTGTGGCTCTGACTCTTTTAGCAGATATAGTTGGTCCTACATCATAGTAAATAATTATCCTATAGTCGAACAAGGGAAGCATCAAAACAAAACTAGTAGCCCTTATGTTTACTGCCATTTGTAGGATATACACTATGTTCAATCAGCCATGCTTGATTAATTAAGATATCCAAGCCTGTAGTTCTTTCTGTTTTTACTGCCATTCACTTGCAGACTGTTTAAGAAGCTGATTTGTCTTTATTGCATTATAACATCATCTCCGTTTTCTCAGCACTTGAACTTCATATTGGCTACGCTAATTTTCTTTCCGACTAGAGCTTTTACATTATTTGTTGCTGTTGGCAGATGATGCAACTGGTGGTGTTACTCCAAGAAAGAAGTTTGTCCTCCATGTAATAGATTTTGTGGTTTACTTTGTACTCAAATTTTTGGCATGTATATTTTTCTTTGCCCCTGGACCGGGAAGGTTTTCGGAAGCACTAGATTTAAACCCACAAGTAGGAAACCAATCTAACAACCAGCTGGCAGATTCAGGGTCTCTAGAAAATAGTACTTCTACTGAATCAAAAGAGGACTCACTCCATCCATGTTGGCAGAGGCTACAAAATTTAGAAACCTTGGTAACTGAGCTTTGTAACAAACCCACAAAAATTCCTGCTGAAAAGGAAGACATGCTTCGTGATTCATTAAGTCGTATTAAATCAATCGAACAAGATTTACAGAGAACGAAGAAAGTAAGACTTCTTTCTATAATGGGTCTTTATTGCAACCAGTTTTTGTACCTTTGAATGTTCTGATCACTAAACACGGACTTAATTTTGTAGGCCTTGCTTGCAACTGCATCAAAGCAAGTGGAGCTTGCTGAGTCATTGGAACATTTAAAAGACAACAGCTTGCCTGTAAGTTTCTATTTTTTTAGAGAAGAAAATATAAAAATGGATATGAATGGATTTGAACAGTTAATAAAGGAAACTAAATTGGTGACAGTAGTCTGTTCTGATTACTTCCCTAATTGCTGCGAATCCATTTAGATGGCCAGGACGCCAGGTGTAAGCCGGTTTGATTGACATTTGGACTTTTAATAATAATATACAAAGAATGGTGGGGTGGAAAAAAGGTTTAACCAAAAGCTATCCCTGATTATGATGAATCTATGTTTTATTAATAGGTTTGGCATATGCCTGAGTAACTGAACTTGAGTTATCCATTTCTTATATCTGAGAATTTGGGATATAAGCATATTTGTTTCTCAACAAAAATGCTGTTAGAAATTATCACCTACTTGTAAAGCATGGGTTAGATCAATTTATACGCCTTCTTTGACATGGAAAACTAATTGAACTCCCCTAACGAAACTTTCTCTAGATTCATGAATTTTTTTCTTCTGAGTTTACAATTATCTCTCGAATTTGTATTATTGTTCATGGAAATATGCTGTTTCCAATTACTCAATGTATTTTTAGTTCAAATTATTTTGTATATTTTCCTTTTTTACAAAAAAAAAAAGGTAGAGCAATTAGCATGATATATTGATATTGAGTGCACCTGGATAACTTAGAATAAAGTGCATATTCTGATGGTATGGCATTTGCAGAGGACAAACTCATGTTGGCGAAGAAACTACAAACCTTTAAATCCAGGAAGATGAATTTGCCTTTTTGGGTATCCAATTATGCAATTTCTATTGTCAAATCAGCAATGCTATAATGGCAAGATGCTAATCTGTGGCGTGATTTGAGAAGCAGCAGGTTGTCAAACTATTTCACATTAGTCTCGATTGTAATCCCCATTCTGAAGAACTCTATCTCATGTCTGTTATTGTTTTGAATTTGGCAGTCGAGGTGACGCACCAGAGGTTTGAGGTTGATGGAGAATAATAGTACATGGAAATAAAATCTTTCTGACAACCACAATAGTAGTTAGGGAGACGGAGACGGTTGTGCATATAGTTTTTGAAGCTTCTGTACATAGTCCCCCCACATTTCTTTATTCCTTTGTTTTCTCAGTGTCATATAGAAGAACAATGTTTGAGATCACACAGTTAAGATACATATCCAGAAGAGATTATCTCAGGTGTTACTTTCTTCATTGTTTGGAACAATGTTATCAATTTCCCCTTCAACTTTATGAGTTGTGTTGTCCTTTGATCAATAGAAATCATCATTGAATGTTACAGTACTGCCGTTAATATTGACATGATAATCTATAATACTAACGTGATAATCAGCTTCATCCGCATTTAAAAAAAACAGTTCAAATATTGTCTACTCTCCATTCAGGTTGACTAGGGAAATATAAAGAGAGCCAGGCACCATAGAAACCACTTGCAGCGAAGTAGTCATCCACAAAGTAAGTTTGAAACTTAGGTTTTCAATCGAGAGAGAGTGTTTGAGAGGAAAAAGGTCAGAGAAAAGCTTTTCACAAACCAATTAAAAGTAAAGGGGGGAATGGGATACCATTTATCATCGTTATAATTTAAAACAATATGATAATTCTGCATGTTTCATCTTTGCCTAGTATGCAAACCTAACAATAATAACACCATATGGCATCTGCTTAAATATGAAAACTGTTATTACCTGTATATTGTGGTTACAAGAGCTTCCAAAACCAGTAATAGCAGAACCCATCACTGTTGCAACTGCACCATCACTAGATTGCTTCTCTCCATCTTTAGAATTAAAAGGCTCGACATACAAGCCGCCCTGTACTGCGTGCAGATGCAGAGTTTGTTGTTGTGACTACTGCTTCAATGGCAGCTGTTGGGAAGAATTCTGTTGAACTTGTTGTAATTGCTCATATTTGGTAGTGTTATTGAGGTGGCGATGGTGGGTGGGATTGTTGTGTCCACCGTGTCCCTACATTATTTCCGTCAGTGGGTAAGCCACCTGATAATTGTCTCTGCCCTAAACATTGGTTGACAGAAGGTACAGTATCACAACCGGCTGAATTTGTAAGAGGATCGCTCCCCATGGATCCGACTTGAGTGGCCACATTTGACATACCAAGATCAGATTCTGGTTTAGATGATTTCCGCTGAATTCCAACAGGATAAACAACTGACACTGCATTGTTCGCTGAATCAATGGCAGCCTGTGGCATTGCCATGGTTGTGGTTGTACCCATCTCTGGAGCACTGTTCACAGTCTGTTGACACTAAATTGAACAAACATAAAATTAAAAACTGAAATTTAAATAAATTAAACAACATACATAGACGAGGGATCAAATCGAAATAATTAAAAAATGTTAAGTTGAAATTAATGATAAGATAGGAACAAGATGATGGACATTGTAGAGGGGTTTTATCACATTTCAAACAAGATGAGAGCGTTTAAGAATCAACATCAATGCCAAGTAAAAAAACAAGCCAAGTGTTTTGGTAACCTTAAAAAGGCAGAGAACAAACACAATACCGATCTACCTTCAACGTCCATCCTCAGATCATTTATTGTTTTTACTTCCACCAGCACAGCTGCCATTGCCACCACCGCTCGCCGCCTGTGCTGCCTTCTTCGCTGTCTTTTCTTGCAAGGCCTTTGCATCTCTATGAATTCGCCATTCATAAAATGCTAAGAGGGGAACAAGCCAAATTAGGAGGTTAAACGATACAAAATGAATTCGAGGATGTGGTGGAGCACGAGATTGTGTTGGAACACGCGGCGAGAGAGTCAGTTTTTGAAAGAAGCGAAAGTTGTAAGTCTGCATGTGATAATGGGAATAATGGATTTTTTTGATTCGTCCAACTTGGATGGTCGGTTAAAGGCAAAGGTGATGAAGAACGTGATTAACATTATCAAAAAGCATGCTATTAGTAATTCCAAGAGTGTGGAGGCCCAACAGGATGGGGATGTGGTTGGCAATTTGGATGGAAGAGTTAAATCGGGGTGTATAGATAAAGATTTGGAACATATTCTTAGAGTATTGGAGGGGAATTTAACTCTTTCCAATCCTTTGAAGAGAGAGATTCGGGTCCTCAAATAAAGGTTAGATACTGCTGAACCAAGAAACAGAAGAAGGTTCAATGTGAGGGTGTTTTGTCTGTTCTTGGAGCCAGAATATGTTTCCGTTTTTTCCAGCTTTGGAGAAAGAGTCTACAACTGGGTTTTCTGTCCTCTTCGTGTGGAAGCTCCTGGATGTTGTGTTTTATTTTGGCTTCTTTGGTTCGAGTCAGCTGTACTTTTTGGTCTTTATTTTAGGAGTTTTGTTTTCTGGTGCCCTTCGAGCCAAGAGTTAGGCTTTCAGTCGGGTCAGTCCTTTAGAAGCTGTTGCGGTTGATATGTTGGATTAGGTTGAGTTTTGTTGCTGCTATGGGGGTGTTTTCGGTTGTTTTATGGTGTTATGTTTTATGTAGGGGGTCGATCTCTGGATGTATATTGGTTTTTTTATGTTTAATGAAATCATAAGGCACTCTTTTCCTCATTCCGCTGATTAAGGAGTTTATCTATAAGTCCCTCTAATCAAGAACTAGGTTTTTAATGAGGCCTTCAATTCCTATAAAAAAAAAAGGAAACCTAGTCAATCCATCATCCTTAGAACCACTCTTCCCCTTACCGCCTGTCCTGGTTTGAGCCCTTTCCCGATCTTTATCTCTCTGGTTGCCGCATTAGCTTGAGTTAATGAATCAACAACAACAACAAGAACTGATTATTTTATAAATTTATCTTCTTAAATCACGAATTATGGTTTTTTTTCCTTCAATGTTACAGGAGTTTAGCAAACTTAAAGGATATGAGTCAATGTTGATATTCTGGGGAGCCAAACAATGGTCGGCAAAGATCAAACCCTGCAAATTTCAAACGATTGATAACGCAATTAAACAATAAGAAGCACAATAAAGGTTAACAAAAATGAAACTGATAAAAAATGAGAAAGAAAATTAACTTTTTCCCCTGTTTGGAATAAGGACATAAGATTAAAAAAGATAGAAAGAAAGAGGTTGTTGTAAGCCAGGGCATCCTTTATACACGTGTACCAATTGTGAGTAAGTTTATTTTTGGGTAAATTCACATTTTGATCACTCAAGTCTGAGTAAGTTTATTTTTTGTCACTCAACCTTCAGGTGTAAGTAAATATTTTTAAATTTCCTTTTTTAATTCCTTATAGGTTGGTGTAAGATCAATTCCTCATCGTCATGATTTTTCTGAACAAAATCTTTTTGTTGCTTTTATACAGCGTTTTTCTCGAAATATCATCTATACATTATAATATTCCCTGTCATACATCCTTCAGACTATTTTTCTTGATCTAACACCCTTTGCAGTAAGGCGCGCCCCCTGCAGCGCGTTTTACGCTGATATGGTGCCACGTGGGGTAAGGTGTGCCCCCTGCAGCGCGCTTTACGCTGACATGAACACACGTGTCTAAAGCGCGACCCCTGGGGTGCGCCTTACGACACGTAGGGCTATAGCGCGGGTCAGGGAACATGCTTTTTAATTATCACATGCTCAATTATCAGACATGCATAATGCAAGGCGCGGTGCAGGGACCGCGCCTTACATTATTTACCCCGACCTTTCGGCTTTAAAACATCCTCTCTCGGCTATAAATAGTCATCTCCCCGTAAACTCTCTCACAATTCTCTCTCAACCGAGAAATTAATACAACAATCCTTTCAACCAGTAAATAACACCCAACAATCCTCTTATATTTAATTCAGAAGTTCGTTCGATCTTTCGTTATAAGGTAACTTTATTATAATATTTTTTATTATACTTATCGTTTATTATGATTATTTGAAAAAAATATTATAGTAATTGTTTTCAATTAATTTCTGTGCCTGTTCAAAGGGAAAGCGGGAGCACACGTCGAAATATTTTTGCGGTGCAGGTAATAATATAAAATTATATTATTTAAATTATTTACGTTTATGTGTAAAAATTTTATTGTGATATATTTTCGTTCATATATTATTTATTTAATCAGGTTTGTTTCAGTTGTTTTTTTGCAGATATAATATTGTCGTACTTTTAAACTCTAAGAATGGCGCGACTTTCAGCTATTGTTTATTATGATGGATAAATTCGAGAAGATGAAACCGGCGTTATTTTCGTATCAAATGAGCATGTTAAAATATCATTCAAGAGAAACATAACTCTTGAGGAGCTGATAACGAAGATTTCGAGGAAGGTTCATGTTGGAAGTAGTAGAAGAATGTCGTCGTTGCAGTACAAATTTCCAACATCATTGTTGCCATTCACTTATACAACGTTCGAACTCTCGAACAATGATGATGTTGAAATGATGGCTGATTCTCAAAGTAATTATTCCGACTGTAACATCCTCAATACCGAGTTAATGACTAAATTGTAAAACTTCAGAATTTGGTAATTAAAGCAGGATAATTGAATAGTATTGTAATTTGATATAGGGTTAAATTACAAGGAAGATAGAATGGAAGGATAGAATGGTCATTTGCAAGGAAATAATTAAAGAAGGGATATATATATTAGCTCCACGTGGAAGAGAAGAAAGAAAAACAAAGGTTCCAGAGTTCTCTTCTTCTCTTCTTTCTCCACACGTGAAGACTTATAGCAAAGGTGAGATTTTTCATAAGCTAATTGTTTGCTGAAATTTAAGTTTGGTTTTGCTCCTTAGATGTTAATTAAGCTTAAGGAAAGCTTAATTTGCTTTAAAACAACAAGATAAAGAGTGTAGGAAGAATTAAAGATTAGGAGTGCTTGAATGGAATTTTGAAATAAAGTTCATATTTGAAATCGGAGGTTGTATTTGACTTGTCATCGACTTAGTTAAGACATACGAAGTGTTAAAATTAGATTTAGAACATGTTGGAAATTGAGGGAGATTCTTGAAATCTATTTGGAGGATTGAATTTTTAAGTATAAGAGGTATTGAATGGGTATTAATTAGTTTAAGTAGATGTATGCAAGTTAAGGAGATAAAAAGATGGGGAATATGAAGTGTTGAGAGGATTATGAAGAGATTTTCGTGCTAAAATAACATTTCTGGGTTGTGTGCATCGATGCACATTCAA